GCAGGCCCAGAGACCCCATTTCCCATGAGCCCCGAGAGCTGGTCACCCGGGCCCTGGCCTCCCAGAGGCCCAGGGGGAGGCCGCGTGTGAAGGTGCGCTCTGCATGTCCTCCCCTGGCTGGGAGACTTTTCTTGGCCTCTGAGGGGTCGAGGTCCCTCCCTGCTCACCTGTGGCAGAGGATGGCTGCCTTCAAGTGTCCCCGGGAGCATGGGGAGGGGCGCTCCCGCCCTGGAGCTGCAGCCAGATTTGGTACCCACCCAGTTCAGCCCTCTGCTCCCCAACTTGTATTCCTTTCCACAGAGCCCCCGAAAGATAGCAGCACCCACTAAAAAGAGGCCCCGTGCTGGTCTCAGCGTGCCCAGCCCAGCAGCCAAGCCGCTAAGGGTCTCTGCTGTGCCCAGGGTCAGCCACAGTGGGGTGGGGCGAGAGCCAGGGCGCTCCGAGGCTGGCCTGGGAGTGTCTCCTGATTCCCGCGTGTCCTCTGAACCCACGCTGGCTCAGTACACGTCCTTAGCCCCTGGAGGCTCATTCAGGTCCTGGGGCAAATGATCTGTCACCCCTCCCCATGAGCCCCGAGAGCTGCTCTGGCAGTTGGACGGACAGATGGAGGAGACTTGTCAGGACAGATGACAAATTCCCAGGCTCCCTGACAGACAGGGCCATTGGGATCCTCTAACCCCCTCCCCTGCTCCCCACCAAAAACACTTATTAAGCAATAGAAATCTTTCCCAAGTTAAATCGAATCCACGATCCCCATACTATCCAGGAAGCCAATAAAAGCAGTCTCTTATGAGCCGTGTAGCACCCACAGCAGGAATTCCTCTCCCGAATTAAAATCTTCTCTAATTTATAATATCTGCTTATTTAAAATAGGTCCATAAAGGGGGGGAAGGGGAGTTTTCCTCAGGAATCTAGAACAATGCCATCGATGTGGGTCCCACCCATTGCAAAGCTGGACCTCCAACTCGCTTTGGTGGTTCACGGCCAGAAATCCTGGAGCAGGCCCTGAAGCAGTTGGACACGGCAACGGTTTTCTCCTTTTTCTTGTTTTCTTTTTTGGTCCTGGGGATGGAACCCAGGGGCGCTTAACCATTGAGCCCCATCCCAGCCCTATTTTGTATTTTATTTAGGGACAGGGTCTCACTGAGGTGCTTAGGGCCTCGCTTTGGCTGAGGCTGGCTTTGAACTCGAGATCCTCCTGCCTCAGCCTCCCGAGCCTCTGGGATGACAGGCGTGGGCCACCAAACTGCAGCAGGTTTTCCTCTTCAACAAGTCACCTTCCATCCCTGGATTCTCCTCAGGGAATAGAAGAAGTCCGGGTCATGATAGGGCTGGGCCTACGTAAAAGTTGGGTAAAGAAGCTGGGCGTGGTGTGCACTCCTATAATCCCGGGAGGTTAAGGCAGGGGATTGCAAGTTCAGGGCCAGGCTGAGCTACATAGCAAGACCCTGTTAAAAAAAAAAAAAAATGGGTAGAGTAGACATTTGAGAGTGTTTGTTATCAGAGTGCTTATTTTTGCTAAGCTTCAAAATAGTATTAAAATACATGTATTTTTAATTTTCTTTTTGCGTGTGTGGTTCTGGGATCGAATCCAGGACCTGACACACGCCAGGCAAGCACTGAGTTACATCTCCCCTAAAATACATATATTTTAAAATGAATTAGACTCATGCTTCAGAACCCCCGAAACATCTGTGCCAAATAAGGAGGGTCCAACGTCCCGCTTTCCCCATGAGGAGGAGATTGGGCTCAGGGAGGAGGTGGGTGGGTGCAAGTTCTGGTCAGGGCCTGTCCTGCTGGGGGCGTGGACAGGCGCCATCCCTGGGATCCAGCGGAGCATCTCTGATGTCCCTGACCCAGCATTCCCACGGGAACTCTTCTGCCCGTGTCCCCACCGCAGCCCACCAGGCAACCAGTGGGCAGAGGAGCAGGGCGGGAACGCTGGCCACGCTCACTCTCCGGGCGCCAGGCGGCAAGCTCCACAGTTGTCTTCCAGGCAGGTGGCGCAGGAGTCTCCCTGGTCTGGTGGCCCCCAAAGGAAAGACTGAGGGGAGGGAGGGGCTCAGGAATCAAACTGGGCTCCAAGCTTGATTAATCACCTTCATTTGCATATGACAGTCTCCCTGGAGCCTCTACGATGAGACCCCTCCCCACCCCGCAGCAGGGAGGGGGCAGGCTGGGCCGGGAGAGAAACCCCTCTCCCTCCTGCTAGTTTCCTTTTCCCAGCTGCCAGAGTCTTGCCAGCATTCAGCCACAAAGATGCTGTCACAACAGTGACAGGATGACAGGCACCGAGAGGGAGAGGCACGTGGCCCTGGTGGAGCTCTGGGCACAGCCATGGGTGCGAGGACCAGGTTCCTTGTGCGCCCGCCCAGGCCTCGGTGGTGTCAACTTGGATTTGTGACATGCCCTCCTGGAGCCTCAGTTTTCCCCGTTGTAAAACCGTGGAAAACTAGCCTGGTGCAGGGGCACACGCCCGTCATCCCAGCGGCTCGGGAGGCTGAGGCAGGAGGATCTCGAGTTCAAAGCCAGCCTCAGCAGATCAAGGCACTAAGCCCGTCAGTCAGACTGTGTCTCTAAATAGAATATTAAAGGGCTGGGATGGGGCTCAGGGGTCGAGTGTCCCTGGGTTCAATTCCTGGTACAAAAATAAATGTGGGGGGCTGGGGATGTGGCTCAAGCGGTAGCGCGCTCGCCTGGCATGCGTGCGGCCCAGGTTCGATCCTCAGCACCACATACCAACAAAGATGTTGTGTCCGTCGAGAACTAAAAAATAAAATATTAAAAAAAATAAAAAATAAAAAAAATTAAAAAAAAATAAATGTGGGAAATGACCTGAGACAGGGCAGTTGGGAGGCCAGCGAAGCCCGTAGAGCCGGGGCCTCCCCCAGTAACCGGGCGACTTGTTCCATTTTGTTTTTTAATGATTCACTATTAGAGCCACCTCTGGGTTGGGGACGGTCCTGACATCCTCAGGGCGCACCCTGGCTGTTGACTGTCCCCAGTCAGGGGGAGATCAGACCCAGGCCCACGGGGCGCTTTGTGAGCCAGTAGCAGCAGGACCATGGGGGGTGGGGGCGGGGATGGGGGAGCACCTGCCTCCCCTCCTTGCCTGGGTGCTTGGTGCTTGTGGCAGAGCCTCCAGCTGGCTTCCAGAGTGACAGAAATGGATTGGCGCCACCGTCACCGGGGATCCTTGGCACGGCTCCTGGGTGGCTCTCTGCCAGGCTGGCATCGCTGCGGCTGGGCTGCGCCAAGATCTTCGTACGAGTCCCGTGAGCCGAGGAGAGGGGCCGCCAGGCTCCCCACACCCTGGGCCCGGGGCCTGCACACATCCTGGGGAATCCACTTCCATCCCGGTCCCAGCTCACGGGCGCCTGGACCTGGAGGGTCCCTGTGCACCACGGAGCTGCCAGTCTAGTCGGGGGCTTCGAGAGGCGCCATAATCCCAGCCCAGAAGGCACGGGGGTCCCTGGAGCTGGGCAGAGCCACGGGAGCACCGCGGAGCACGTGGAGGAGGGGCCTGGACAGGCTTCCTGGAGGAAGGGACATCGGGAATGGGTCCCAAAGGAGGGGCAGGGCTGGGCAGAGACAGCTGGGGGTGGAGGCGACAGGTTGTGCTGGCAGAGGGTACGAGACGCGAGAGACGGGAGCGGGGCGGTGCGTTTGGGGCCCAGGAAGCAGTCGTTGTGGGCTGTGAAGGGGAGGAAGTGGAAAGCAGGGCTGCAGGCGAGTTTAGGGCCACGTCCTACAAGGTCTTGAGTGACAGAGTGGGACGGCAATGGGGGGGCCAGCAGCAGCCTGTGCTGAGGAGGTCTGGGAGAGGCCAGGCCCCCGCCCTGAAATCCCGCTTGTGCCCAGACTCTGTGTGACTCGCGGGGTACAGTGGACAGTTGGGAACAAAGATGGCACTGAGGTGGGGGCTCCTGGTACCATGAGGGAGCCCACAGCCAGACAGGGCCTGGGCAAGGGAATTGGGGGGAACAGGAAGGATGGCAAGTTTGGGGTGCTGACGCTGGGGCAGGGATGGCTTTATCTCCTGGGGAGGAGCTGACCCCCAAGACCAACGCCCAGGCTGGTCACCATGCCCAGAGATCCATCGCCTGGCCTCATGTGTGTCCACAGGGACAGCAAACTGCTCTAAGCGCCCCCGGACTGCCCTCCCCATCCCCCCCCCAAGCCTCCTCTTGCCTCCTTCCTGGCCCCCTCTGGAAGGGGAGGGTGGTGAGTCCATTCACTGGAAAACACCCCTCAGGCTCCCTGTGGGCGGGGTGTCCTGCAGGCTTCGCCCAGGCTCTCGATGGCCCTGCAGGACTGAAGGGCAGCCAGGCTCTTGGACCTGCATGGACCCAACACAGACGCCAAGTCTCCCACCGCAGGGAGAGCAGAGCGCCAGGCCTGGCTCTGTCAGGCTCAGTGGCTGGCTGGACCTAGCCCTGGATCCGCCGGGGCCTGAGGCAGGGCTGAGAGTCCCCTGAGCCCAGCAGCGCTTGACTGACAGGCCTTAGAGCAGCCGCGTCCTGCCACCGGGTGCTGCCTGGGGCTTCAGGAGGCTGGCCGCGGGCTCTCATTAGGGAAGGCTGGGAGGTGGGGCAAGGGCACTGGCTGCCTGCACCGTGGCCAGGACAGCGGGCGAGCTCTGTGGCGTCTGACCTCAGGCACAGAGTGACATGTGATGAGAGACCTTGACATAGCCTGGCCCCCGGGGGGAAGCCCCCCTCCCAGCCAGGGTAGGGGACAAGACGGAAATTGAAGGGACCACTCTGTGTCCGGCTCCTGGCTCTGGAACAGCAGACCCTCAGGCAGTGGAGGCGGGGTTCCTGGTCTCCCTAGGGACCAGGACACGTTGGGCAGGGATGGCAGAGAGCACCCAGCGTGAGTCTGGGAGGAGGTGCCAGCCCGGGAGTGGGCAGCCTGGTCAGGGCTTGGGGGCGGTGGCAGTCCCAGGCGCTGCCCTCCCTCAGGTGGGCAGGAGCTGGCCTGGGTGGGGTTGGGGGCCACAGGCGCTGAGCCCGCTGGAGGAGGGATTCTGGGGACAGGATCATGCCAGGCCACCGGCCTTCCCTCAGCCCTGGGCCATTATGTGGCTTCAAATCACAAGGAAGCCGCAGCGTCAGCACCTGTGGGAGCCTCATGGAATACGGGGGCTGCCGGAAAAATCCCACCAGCTGCTGATCTGCAGAGCCCGGCCGGAGGGCGGGAGGTGGGGCGTCTCCGGAGCCCACAGACACCCCCCGGCCCCCCGGCTGCAGGCCTCCTCGCCTTAGCCAGGACGTCCTGGGACCCACCAGGGGGGTCAGCTCCTCCTCAGCATGGAGGGAGGGTCCTGAGACCCCAGGCGGCTCTGCTTCTGGGGCAGGGGCGCACAGGTGGGGTCAGTCACTCCGCGCACTGCAGGGGTCAGAGCCAAGTCTAGGAAGCCATCCCAAACCCCCCAGGGTCAGAACCCCAGGGACCTCAGAGCTCAAGGTGGAAGGCAAAGTACAGGGGCCAGGGCAGAGCTGAGCTGACCCGGGACAGCCACAGAGGCTCAGGAGCACAGGAGAAAGGCCACTTACCAAGGGTCCCCTACCCTCTCTGTGCCTTAATTGCTGCTTCGGAAAAATGGGGGGAATAACAGGAGCCATTTCAGAGAGCAGCTGGGAGGACGGGGCCACACTGGTCCACACAGAGCCCCAGGGCAATCCCGCGGGCCCCTGCGCTCTCCCTCGGTCCCCTTGGACGTATGTAGGCTCCCGTCAAGTCCCAGGGACCAGAGGTGTGCTTCTGAGCCCCGAGGGGCTGGCGCTGGTCCAGTCTGGAACCTGGACACGGCTTCAGTGATCCAATCTGTGGCCTTGGCACCTCTGTCTTTCTGGGACCCTCTAATGCCACCTCATGCACTGGAGGCAGTTTAGAGCGTCCCTGGCCCACCCAGGGCGCCATGAGCATCGCCAGCTTTGACAACTCAAAGCGTCTCCAGCCTTGGCCCAACGTCCCCCCGGGAGCTGGCCTGGAAAGCCGGTGCAGGTTGCGGGAACCTGGGATGGGCCCCAGGAGGAGCCACCCAGAGAGCAAGCTGCTTTTCTTGCAGGGAGGAGCCATGGCGGGGCCCGCCCTCCGCAGCGCCCCCCTGCTGTTCCTCGTCCTCCCCGTGCTCCTGCAGCCCAGCCTGGCAGAGTCCCCCGCACCCGGAGCGCCTGCCCGGAGCCTGCCCGAGAACCTCCTGGACCTCCCTGCCCCGTGGACACCGCAGGCCAGCCACCACCGCCGCCGGGGCCCGGGCAAGAAGGAGCGGGGCCCGGGCACGCCTGGCCGGGCCCAGGAGGGGGCGGGGGGCACCACCTCCAGGCAGGCCTCTTGGCTGCCAGGGGCTGGGGGGCTGCTGCTGGACAAGGACCTGGTCCCGGGGCTGGCCGTGCCCTCCTTGGACAAGAAGCCCAGGTCCCCGGGGTGGGAGAGGGTGAAGAAACGCAGCAGGAAGCACAAGAGACGCAGGGACAGGCCGGAGCTGCACCGAGGTAGCCGAGACCTGCGCGGGGAGGGGGCCTGGGGACCCGCGGGAAGGGCAGGGCCAGGGCTCAGATCCAAAAGCCCAGGCCAGGCCAGGAGAGGGAGGCCAGAGGGGCTACACTGCAGGAGGCTCCTGGGAGATGAGCCAGAAGCCCCAAAGCAGGCAGGCAGTGGCACCCAGAAGAGAGGAGAGAGGCTCACTAATGTCAGAGGGTCCAGAAAGAAGAGGAGGAAGGGAGAGGACGGTGGGGGGACACAGGAGGCCGAGGGGGATGGGTAGCAATAGAAGCTCAGTCTCCTCCATAGAGCATCTTCTTAAGTCAGGAAGTTCTACCTTTTATCTGACCTAAATCTATTACTCTAAGTCCTGAGTAGAGATGGAATAGTTTGGCACCCTCCAAGCACACCTTTAATCCACTCTGGAATAGAGCACAGGCTCTGACCCCAGGTCTGTCCGGGATCAGGTCCTGGCTCCACCCTCACTAGTCTGTGGCCCTGGCCAAGTTCCTGGTCTGTGCCTCAGTTTCCTCTCTGCACAGCGAGGAGGGCGGCCCCTTCACCCCCGGGTAGATCCAGAGCTCTGCTCTAAGAGTGCCCAAACGCAGGTGTTGGGAGCCACCAGCAGTCACTGCTATCAACCTTCAGGTCCCTTAACCTGTGTCCTCCGACCTGGACACAGGTAGCTTCCTGGCACTGTGAAAAGGTGAAGGCAGAAGGTTTAGGGGCGCCCCTGGGACCCCAGCTACTCAGGACGCTGAGGCGGGGGGATGGCCCATCCCTGTCCCTCCTGCGTCTGCCCTGAGTGTGGCAGGGCCTCGTCCCCCTCACCTTCCTTGACTTCCCCACGTTCCCGACACACGGGAGCTTCAGCCCCGGGCCCTGGGCCCAGCCTCCCCGCTGGGTGTCTCTGGACAACCTGGCTGACAGACCAGGAGGCCCCCTCCCCAGCCCTGGGCCCCCACAGGCAGCTCAGCTTCCAGGTCTCCAGGTGACAGACTGTCTCTAGGGGACCCTGCCTCTGAGCGCCACAGGCGGGAAGGGGTGGGAGGTCTTGGGGAGGAAGGTGGGGAGCCGGGGCTCCGCTGCAGCGGGCGGGGCTCTCTGCCCTGCCAGGCCTCCTGAGCCCCCCAGGACCCAGAACCAAACCAGGGCCCCAGCCTGACTTTCCGCCCCCTTCCCCAGCGGTCACCTGCGTGAGGCTGCGAAAGTGAATGGCTCAGCCCATCTCCTCCCGAGATTCGTTTCTTCAGGGTGGGGGGACGCCAGTGGACCCAGCTGAACTCACAGCAAAAGAGGCAAGGACAAAGCCCGGTCCTCCAGCCTCCAAGTGCAAGTCCCACCATTCATAAGCCCCCTGTGGCCCTGCACTCTCGCCCTCCCACTCAAACCACCCCCCATCCGTGGGGCTTGGCAGGTGATATCAGTGTTAAATGCATTGGCTTTGCACTCAGATGAGCCAGGGTTCAAGGCTACTAATGAGCTGTGAGTCCTAAGGGAAGTTACCTCACATCTCTGTGCTTCAGTTTCCACCTCTATAAACAGGGCGCCCTCTTCCCAGAGCTGCTGCCATGAACTAATACTTGTGAAGTGACCCCTCTGGGATCCAGGAGAGTAGGTGCTCAATAAATAGGGTGGTGACTAATGTCAGCACGTAGGAAGCACCAAGGTGTGTGGCAGGCTGCGTGCGCACCTCCCAGCCTTCCCAAAGGCCTCCATGGTGAATCCCACCAGTGCCCCCACCCCGCCCTCGCCTGTGCCTGCCCCCACTGAGCTCCCCAGGGGGCCTGCTGCCTGATGGTGGCTGAACCAGGGCTGTCCCTGGGTCCCTGCTGCCCCTGGTTGGCAGCAGAAGAGGTAGGTCATACGGTCGGTCGGCTGACCCAGGCGGGTAAACCCTCTGCCTCTGCCCCGGGTCCCAGGCCGCGCCTTGGTCCGAGGCCCCAGCTCCCTGAGGAGGAGGGCGGAGCTCTCTGAAGACCCCTCCCTGGCTGCCGCCCCCGAGGAGTCCTCCACCAGCCTGGCGCCCACCATGCTCTTCCTAACCACCCTGGAGGCAGCACCTGCCACCGAAGAGTCCCTCATCCTGCCTGTCACCTCGCTGAGGCCCCAGGTAAGCGCCCAAGACCCCGGAGCTGGAACTGCAGACCTCGTCATGGGAACCCCTCCCAGTACACCAAGGGGACCGAGGCCTGGCAGGAGGGTGCTGGGGGGCCCAGGCCCAGGTGGACACCTGGTCTCCAGATGCCAGTGCAGTCCAGCCCCCGCCCAGCCGACCCTCCCTCCTGGGGAAGGGCACCCCTGCCAGGGGAAGGGGGGCTTGGGGCCACTCTGGGGACTGCCCAGGAAGCAGTGCAGCCTAGCACACTGGCCTCTGTGCACACAGTGGCCAGGCCCTTGGGAAAGAGCTTTAGAGTCCAGAAGAGGACAGAGAACAGTCACAGTAGCTGTGAACACCATGTCCCCTGACCGGGACCAACTAGCAAGGCAGCAGTTCCACCCACCTCTTCCCGACTCTTTGTGTTTTTTGTTGTTATTGTTGTTTGTTTGGTTGGGTTTTTGTTTGGTTTGGTTTGGTTTGAAACCAGGGATTAAACTCAGGGGCACTCGACCACAGAGCCCCAGCCCTATTTCGTATTTTATTTAGAGACGAGGTCTCACTGAGTTGCTTAGTGCCTCACTGTTGCTGAGGCTGCCTTTGAACTTGCCATCCTCCAGCCTCAGCCTCCTGAGCTGCTGGGATGACAGGTGTACGCCACTGAGCCCGGCTCTCTCTGATTCTTGAGAAAGACAGGAAACCAAACCAGAAAACACAGTAAAAGTGCCACCCAGTGGCAGTACCAGGAGGGCATGTAGGAATGAACCCAGCCACTCTTGTCCTCTATGGTGGCTTTGAGTTTTTTTTTTTTTTTTTTAAATAAAACTATTTGAAAGGATCCATAATATACATAATTTATTTTATATATTGTATAAGAAATAGTAAATAAAAATAGATATTTTGTCAGTACAGTTGTTTCCCCCCCTTGTTGTAGTCTACTTTCTACAATTTCAATCCATCATAGTCCAAGAACATTAATGGAAAATTCCAGAAATAAATAATTCATAGGGTTTTTTTTGGGGGGGGAGCCTGGGGATTGAACCCAGGGGTGCTTTACCACTGAACTACATCCCTAGACTTTATTTATTTATTTATTTTTTAGATAGGGTCTCCCTAATTGCTAAGGATCTTGCTAAATTGCTAAGGCTGGCCTTGAACTTGTGATCCTCCTGCCTTACCCTCTGAGTCTCTGGGATTACAGGTGTGCACCACTGTGCCCAATTCAATTCATAGGTTTTGCTGTCTGGAGTAGTAAGGTGAAATCCCACTTAGTCTCATCCGAGACATGAATTGTTCCCTTATCAGATACACCGTGTCCATGCTTTATATGCTATCTACCCGTTAGTCTCTTTACAGCTGTCTACTAGTTAGCATTAGATTGATGTAGTGGTACAGCAGTGCCTGTGTTCGAGTTACTCTTAGTTTACTTAATAATGGCCCCAAAGCACAAGAACAGGGCTGCTGGCAATTCAGAGATGACGAATACAAGCTGTAAGGCACTTCTTTCACGTATCCTCTCGCCTGTCACAGAAAGGAAGAGTGTGCCATGCAGTAGGAGATTTGGAGAGAGAGAAAAGCCATATTCACGCAATTTCATTATAGCATATCTCTATGATTGTTTCATTCATAGTTGTCGTTGATGTCCACCTGTGCCCAGTCTACAAATCACAGTCCACCACTGGCGTGCAGGCACAGGAAGAGCTCTGTGTGCAGGCTTCAGCAGTACCAGGGTGGCCTTGGAATGGTCTGCTATGAATGAAGAGGGACTTAGATTTTTCTTGTCCTCTTGTTGGGTCCTGTACCCTTCTGATATTCTGAAGAAAGCTAGGGAGTCTATGGTTAGCTATGTCATTGGAGGTCCCTTGAAGGCCACCAGTCGAGAACCCAGCTCTGGAAATATAGCTATTGCCTGAGTCCTACTGTGTGCAGTGACCCTGTGCAGAGTCAGTCATAGTCTCTGGTCTTCAGTAGTTTTGAGGCCAGTCATGGGAGCTTTGAGTGGGACAGAGTCCTCGTCCCTGGCCACCACAGTGCCTCAGGGAGCTGAGGAGAGGAAAGGACAGAGAAGGGAGCAGCTGGACTTCTTCACGCCGGGCACAGGGGCACACGCCTGTAATCCCAGCGGGAGGGAGGCAGAAGGATCACAAGTTCAAAGCCAGCCTCAGCAAAAGTGAGAGGCTAAGCAACTCAGTGAGACTCCGTCTCTAAATAAAATACAAAACTCAGTGGTCGAGTGCCCCTGAGTTCAATCCCTAGTACCCCCAAAAGAAAGAAAGAAAGACCCCTGAGCAAGCAGGAGCTCCTTCAGCCCAGCCGGGGTCAGCGCCCTGCTCAAAGGGCCCCGTGGGCAGCTCACCAGCTGCTGAGCAGGAGCCTCGGACAGCTGCCCTGGTATCCTGGGCTGGGAGTCGGGCTGCCCAGCTGCCCAGCAGAAGGGGCCTCTGCGTAGCCTCTCCTCTGTCCTCTGGCCTCGAGACCCCACATTCCTGCCCTATCTGTGGGGAGCTTGAGGGTCCCCTCCATCCGTCTTCTGTAGTCACAGCCCAGGTCTGACTGGGAGGTGATGCCCACGCTGGACATGGCCTTGTTCGACTGGACGGATTATGAAGACTTAAAACCCGAAGTCTGGCCCTCTACCAAGAAGAAAGGTACGGTCGCCTTCCGCACCCTGCATCAGGCCCGGGCTCCCCTCCACCGCCACCTGCTGGGTCAGTCAGCCCCGTCTGATCTGCTGATGTGCAAGGTGGGTGGTGGGTGGTGGGTGGTGGGTGGATCTGCCTAAGCCGGAGCTGACCAAGATGGAGAATTCTGGTAAGTGTCCCTAGGTGCCAAAGGCTGCCCGGGTGTCAGCGGGAGGGGAGGGTGACCCGTGGGGTCCAAACTACTGTTGGCCCAGTTTAGAGAAGAAACACCGAGGCACAGAGAGGATGGCTCTTGTCCCAGCCACCCGGCAGGGGCAGCGGCACAGCACGGTGACTCCTGCCCTTTCTGCTCTCCGGGGCCTCGGCTTCTGACACCCTGCCTCTGTGTTCCCAGAGAAGCACTGGGGTCTGTCCAGAGACGGCAACGGAACATCGCCAGCCCAAGGGCAGCCGTGTGACCATCACCAGGACTGCCTGCCAGGTACCCCGGGGTCCAGGCTCTGGGCTGGGAGGAAACCAGGTGGTCCAGGGGTTCCCGGGCATATGAGCAAGGTCAGAGGCTCCCTGTCCCTTTGCAGACAATAAATAATGTCAACGGCAGCCACCAATGTCCGTCTGAAGAGTCTCTATCGCGTGTCAATTCACCTAACCCTTCACTCACTGCAACCCAGAGAGAGGGTCACTGTCCTCCTCAGATTTCCAGCAAGGCAGCTGGGCCCAGAGAGGCTGTGTCTGGCCTAAGGTCACACAGCTGGAGGCCATCAGTCACTGCCACTGAGCCCAATTGCCTGGGGAGAGCCCGGAGGGGCGCACCTCTGGACAGTTCCACCAGTGCCCAGGGTATTCTGCAAAACAGCGACAAACCAGCCGCTGGGCATGGTGCCAGGCCAATGCCCTCACAGCCCGCTTCCTCCCCAAGCTACTGTTTGCTCCTGGGCACAAAGACAGGCCCCAGCTTGTGCCTGTCCCCTAGGAAGTCCTGGGCAGCCGGCTGCAGGCCAGGTCTTGGCCTGTCTGGGGCGATCCTCCAGCCACCCAGGGCTTCGGTCTCCTGGTCTGGTTGTCACTGGTCCCCGAGGCCCCTCGCTGCTCGGAGCTGACTCCACACCAGCAGCCCCCAGCTGTTCCCCCCGTTCTCCTGGGGAGGTGACCCCACACCACCTTCCCGCTTCCCATAATCAATCAGTCATCCATGGGGGCAGCTGGGGTCTCTGCCCTCCGCCCCCAGGGATCTCAGCCTTGACGTCCATCGGCGGTTCCGCCCGGGCAGCCCTGCGCACCAGATGGCCCACACTGCCGGGGCACGGTCTGCCACCGCGATGATGGATGTCCCGTTTGGGGGGGGCGGACTGTGAGCTGGGCGGCAGGGAGGGGCTGCTCGGCCCGGCTGACCACGTGCTCTTGCTGTGTGGCAGGGACCTGCTGTGACCTGCGGGAGCATCTCTGCACCCCCCACAACCGCGGCCTCAACAACAAATGCTTCGACGACTGCATGTGTGTGGAAGGTGAGCCCCCGTCCTCCTACGGCTCCTTCCTGGGCTGGTCTGCAGCGAGCGGCAAGATGTCCTGGCCGCGGAGGGCAGGAGCGAGAGCAAACTCGCTGAGTCTGGGTTGGGTGGGGTTGTTCCCAGGTCTGCTTCCTCACCTCCTGAAACTGCTGGCTGCTGTCCACATCAGGGGCTGGAGGAGGAGAAGACCTAACCGTCCTCTCCCGGGGAGGCCTCCCCCTAGATAACCGGGTTGGGTGGGTTTCCCTGCACCTGTCCAGGGGAGGATGCCGGGTTCATCCCTCCAGGCTTATCCCTCCACTCTCCTGAGTGACTGACTTGCCCTGCTGCGCACACACACCCAGGAGATCCTCACAACCAGAGATCCTCACAATCAGCCCCAGGAGGGAGCAGCTGTCATGTTCCCCACTTCACAAAAAAAGCCCTTCTCCAAACTTACACATTTGGAAGAGTAGGGGAGGGCTGGGGGTGAGGCCCAGCTACAGCATTTGCCCAGCATGTGCAAAGCCCTGGCTTCCATCTCCAGCACAGCTGAAAGTAAAAGAAGGAAAAACCAGTACTTCCAAGTTGTTATTCTGAAATTTTTCAAATATATACTAAAGTAGCCAGAACTTTAGCATGAACCCCCATTTCCCTTCTCTGGGCTTCAATAATTACTAACTTGCATCGATCTGTGCTATCTCTCCCCAACCTACTTCCCTGGTCCAATATGATTTGGAAGCAACTCATGAATGCATACAGATATTTCAGAAATATTTTAGCACACATCCCGAAAGGATAAGAACCCTCGTGCCCAGTGCTGTGTGCACACCTGTAATTCCTGCCATTTGGGAGGCTGAGGCAGGAGGATTACAATTTTGAGGCGAGCCTCAGCAACTTAATGAGGCTCTAAGCAACTTAGGGAGACCCTGTCTCAAAAGTAAATAAATAAATAAATAAATGGATGGGGATGTAACTCAGTGGTTCAATTCCCAGTACCAGAGGGCAGGGCCAGGAGATAAATACCCTCTTAAAACCAAAATACCACAATGGAACAATAATTTCCCAATACCATTTAATATCCAATCTGCATGCCCCCTCTTATGTGGGAGAATTTGGACTCAGTCCCTCTATGAACCTGAGATACCTGAGCCCAATTTTGCTCACGTTATCTTAAAAAAAATTATCTGCTGGGGAAGCGATAAAGCTATTGGGTTCTGACCATTCATGTGGTCAGGTGAGAAGTCGATCTGAGCACCTCCTGGGTGTCAGATGCTGGACCCTGCAGATCTGGCAGGGAAAGAACCCGCAGAGCCTGTGCCCACGGATTAGCTCGCAGACAGAAAGCCAATCCACAGATAAGACGTCTTTGGAAAGTCAGAGGGTGTGGAGAAGAGGGCCCAGAGAAGAGGTTCCCAGAGCCCCGTGCGCTCAGTCCTGGAGCGGCGCCAGGTAGTGCAGCCAGCTGCCCGAAAGTGGGGGAGCGGGAGGACGGTTCCAGGCAAGGGTCAGAGCGTAAGGAAAGGAACAGCGGCTTGGTGTGTCACATGGTGACCCTGGCGAAGGTGGCAAAGGGAGGGGAGAGAAGCTTCCAGAAGGATCACCCAGGACCTTGACCTTGTTTGTCATTTGGAAGTTATGGGCAGGGTTTAGCTCGGGGTGTATGCTGGTCTGACCTCTGAGATTGAGGTCAATCTGAGCACTCAGGGCCCCTCACCAGGGCTGGGCTAGACCAGTGACCAAGGTCAGTGATGCCTTAGGGTCCAGCCAGGGCTCCGGCCTTGGGTGCTGGGTGGGCGGTGGGTTTGTTGTTGTTGTTTTTTACTGGGGATTGAACCCAGGGGCACTTAACCACTGAGCCGCATCCCCAGCCCTTGTTATTTTTTTTTATTTAGAAATGGTCTCACTGAATTGCTTAGGGCCTTGCTAAATTATTGAGGCTGGCTTTGGACTTGCAATCCTCTGCTTCAGCCTTCTAAGCCACTGGGATTACAGGTGTAGGTAACCACACCTGGGCCAGGAGGGTGGGAAGTGAAAGCATCCCACAGGTGGGCAGGGTCCAGGTCCTGGAGGACCTTATAAGCCAACATATGAAGCCTAGATTTCATTTTAGGTACAGTGGAAGCCACGGGAGAATTTATAGGCAAGTACAGTGCAGACTTAGCATGTGAGAGGCCCTGGGTTCAATTCCTAGACTGTGTGTATGTGTGTGTGTGTGTGTGTGTGTGTGTGTGTGTATAGATTTTTTTAAGTATATATTTTTAAATAAAATTTTTCTCCCAATTTTTAAATTGTCACCTTTATTTTTAGAGCAGTTGTAGGTTTACAGAAAAATCGCAGGGTGTGTAAGAGTTCTCCTAAACCCTTTTCTCCCCTGCATGCAATTTTCCCTAACAGCATTTTGTGCAGCGTGGTGCATTTCTTACAATGGATAAACCAGGACGTGTAGGTTATTATTAGAGCCCACAGTTTACTTGAGGGCCATTGTATGGTACAGTCTGTGGGCTTTGCATGACAACGCATGACATGTATCCACCATTATGGTGTCCTGCGAATATGTTCACCGCCTTCATCATCCCCTGTGCTCCATCATCTGTTAATCCCCCACCCACACTCCCACCCCCTGAAGCTGGGTCTCCCTCTTTTGTTTTGTTTTGTTCTGTTTTCTGCTGTGCTGGGGAGGGAACCCAGGGGCGGGGCGGCAGTGCTCTGTCACTCATCTACACCTCCAGCCCCAGGGGGGTGGGGGGTGTACCAGGGACTGAACTCAGGGCATTTGACCACTGGGCCACATCTCCAGCCCTATTCTGTATTTTTTATTTAGAGACAGGGTCTCACTGAGTTGCTTTGCGTCTCGCGTTTGCTGAGGCTGGCCTTGAACTCGCCATCCTCCTGCCTCAGCCTCCTGAGCTGCTGCCCTCTCCCGAGTCTCTCTTTGAAGCTCATGCAGGCGGATGGGCTGCAGGGCCGAAGAAGAAGGAAGGAGAGATCAGGGGTGCAGGGCCAGGCAGGGGAGGGGACAGGTGGGTCTGACCTTTGCCTCTCTCCGCCCAGGGCTGCGCTGCTACGCCAAATTCCACCGGAACCGCAAGGTCACACGGAGGAAGGGGCGCTGCGTGGAGCCCGAGACCGCCAACGGCGACCAGGGATCCTTCATCAACGTCTAGCGGCCCGAGGGAGGCGCCTCCCCAGTGGCCAGGGGACCGAGTCCGGAGGTTTGGAGAAGCCGGGCAATTTGTAACTAGCATGCGACCAGATGGCGAAGGCTGCAGTTGCAGGCTCAGGACACTCAGCCCCAGAGGGGGCCGCTGGGCCCCCTAGCTGCCTCCTCCCAGGAGACAAACCGCGGGCCTTCTGCACCTGCCCAGCCCACCCACGCGACCTGCACCTGTCCAGCCCACCCACGCGGCCGCGCAGCCCGCGCGCATCCGGCTCTCCGCGATGGCCACGTCGAGAGTGCCCTCTACTGTCCGTCAGCAGCACTGCAGGCGCCTCGAGTTCATACCGAGGTTTTGGAGAGTGAAACAGACCTAGGACTCCCCCAGGCAGGAGATGAATCTGGAACCCTCTTCCGTACCAGTACCAGGCACGGTGCTAAGGGCTCCGTAAGCGTTATCTCTTGGAATTATCCCTATGACCTTGTGAAGCCTGCACGGTCAGCATCCTGCAGGTGAGGACACCCAGGCTCCCTTGTCCAGGGTCTCAGATCAATGATCCTCAAGCCTTAACATAGGTAAGAGCCGCCCAGGGGTCTAGTTGAAATGCACATTCCCGTTCAGTAGATGGTGTTGGGAGGGAAGGCTCTGAACTGTGCCTGGGCTATCAAGCTCCAAGGCCCAAGTTCTTGCCCCGTCACAACCTAGAACTTGGTCCAGGTTCTCCCCAGCTTTCTGCAAGAGAGATGCGCTCCCTGGGAATTCCTTTCTCTGTGGCTGGAACAACTTGACTGTTCTCCACCTTCCCGGGACACAGGTGGATTACCTTTAAAAGCAAGATGACATGGACAGTGAGCATCGGCCTGTGTGTGAGGACGGCTCTGGGCAAATTGGTGCCACATCTGGTGTTGATGTTCTGAGACATGAAGTGTGCATGGGGACAGTCACGTTGCTCTGATGTCCCTGTGGTCTTACTCCTCAGCATGTGGCATGCACTTCGAAGGTGTCCTGAGAGCCTGTACCCCAGCGGTTCTGAAGCAAGCATGGAGACACACGGGCACCGGTCATCTGTGTACACCCACACTGCACACTGTTTAGTGATCCCCGGTCACCCTGGAGACCATCCCTGGGCCCCACCCCATACTTCTGCAGCAGACCCCATTGGAAGGTGAAAGTACCTCTGAGATTGGGGTGCTCCCCAAAGGACCCCAACAGGCCAGGCCCATGATACCCACCAGCAGATCTGCCTCTAGGGTGGGGACAACCATTTAAATCCCCCCACCTGGCATGTCACTCCTGGCCAACTGTCTGGCCCAGGGCAAATCAGGTTGCACATGACCACACTGTTGGCCATTCAAACCCCTCCCTGGCCTGGACCATGGCCCTAGGGTGCCAGGGCTGTTTACCGCTTTGGGAAAATCAGATGGGGTCAAGGGTTAGGCACCAAGGAGAGAAGGCAGATCTAGAAGAAATCAAATATGCCTGTTCTCCTCTCCCTCTTCAAGGTTGATAGGCATGGGAATCCTGGGGGCAGAAGGGAGGGCGGGGAGCTGACAGGGATCAAAGCTGCTGGTTAGAAAGTGAATCTGCCAACAGTTTTGTGTCTAAGACCCGACAAGCCCCACGCTGGGCGCCTCACACAGCGAGGCTGATTCTGGATTGTGCTGGCTCTCTGGGGCAAGATCCCAAGGGGCGGCTTCTGCCAGAGAATCCAGCATTGCTATGGCTGGAGCCAGGGTTAGGAAGGCCCAGGACATCAGCAGTGGAAAACACAGACGGTCAGGACAAAGCTGAAAGGCTGCAGAATCATCGCTGCCTCCTCCGCAATCCACAGCTGGAAATCCCAGGCCCTCGTCTTTGCTCTAGATACCTCCATTTTTCACTGGGTGGGGGAGAGGGTGGGAAGGTGGAATCCGTTTAACTCCCGAGTTGGGGATCCCAAAGCCCCTCAAGTGTTTCATTCACCTCTCTTCCGGGAAAGTTCTTCCTTGAGTCTACCTTTCTTTTGCTGGTACAGTAGCCAGTTTCCTCTAATCCAGAACTCAGCAAATGTTAACCGTGAAAGGCCGAATAAATATTTCAGACTTTGCAGACCATACAATCTCTGCCGAACTACACACGGCCATAGCTCAAAGCGGCTGTGGACAACATGCAGATGAAGCCACTTGGCCATGTGCCAGGGGAACTATTCACAGACACAGACTTGAGAGCCTTGTAATTTTCTGTGTCACAAAATATTATTCCTCTTTTAGATTTTCTAAAACCACTTAAAATGTTTTATATATATATATATATATATATATATATATACATATATATATATCTTTCCCTTGCAGACTACCCCAAAACAGGCCTTGGGTCAGACTTGTCCATCTTTGGTCAGTCCTTGCTCCAATCTGTCACTTCTTAGCAAACATTGGAATAATCTGGGGAACTTCCAAAGACCTGGGGTCCAGGTGACAAGGCTGTTTTGATATGGATTTTTGTTTGTTTTGTTTTTTGCAGTGCTAGGGATCGGACCCAGGGACGTGCATATACTGGGTTACTGCTCCACCCTACCTGGTCGGAGTCCTGGTCTGGGCTCCATATTTTTCTAAAGCTCCCCCGGTGCTCTGGGGCACCTCTTCTCTGGGCTCCCATCTCTTGCAGTCCATGTGATGAATATAGCCTATTCCACCTCTCACCACCCTGCTGACCTTTGGAAAGTTACTTAAGGTTTCTGTGCCTTGCTTTTTCATCTGTAAAATGGGGCCTGGGGCTACAGGTGTGGCTCCATGGTAGAATGTTTGCCTAGCATGTGTGAGGCCCTGGGTTCAATGCCCGGCACTACAAAAATAGAAATAAAATACAATAGGGATAATAACTTTCCCTTCATAGAGCTATTGTGAAGAATAAATGCATAATTCTTATGGGGGATTTGGAATTGTGCGGACACAGGACAAACCCACAGGGCCACCTAGCATGTCACTCCTGGCCAAGTGTCTGGCTCAGGGCAAATCAGGTTGCACATGACCACACTGTTGGCCATTCAAACCCCTCCCTGGCCTGGACCATGGCCCTAGGGTGCCAAGGGCTGTTTACCA